TTTGCTTTGCTTTACTTGACTGGTCTTGTGACCCCTTGTTCTCCCCCACTTTGCCTATGGGGGTGTGTCAGAACATTATAGCTCATGCATATTGTGTAGGCTATAGTGGGGCAGCCCATAAGGGGTACAACCCAATTAGGGTTATTACTTGTACCCAATTCATTCATAGTTCATTCATTCCTTGTTTCTTCTCAAGCTTCCCTGCCAAAGGGACGGGCATGTCACGGAGGAATTAGCGAATGCAAAATATAATATACAATAACAACATTCCGAGGTAAACGAGATATACCGATGTGCGATGCAGTGAGTTGACACCAGATGGGAAACGGTTAGGCGAAGCCGCGCGGCAAGACCAGTACTCCCGCCGATCATCACCATGGCGCCATCGGTGCTGATTCCCGCGATCTTGCTCAGCTCGATGTTGACGCTCTCCAAGTACGCGGTGAGGACACCAAAGAGGGACCCTGCGTCACCCTTGTCAACCGTGAGTAGAGTTAGAAATTCCGTGACAACCAAGCCATCTCGCAAAAAAGTCACAAACACAATCATGTGTTTCCCGTGCACACGATCGGTGCTCTCATCGCAGCTCAACCCGATAAACGGGCTTGAGTCGATGTACTCGCACTGTTGGCGGTGGAGGTAGGTCGCCGATGCTACGACAAGCTCCTGGAAACCATACCTGCAAGGAAGGACAACACAAGGTTGAGGTTATACGGAAACACAACACGAGAATCACCAAAACAAAGAGCAGTAAAACCCACTCTTACGTGGTATAGTACGAGCCGTAGCCACTTTTGGGGAAGCCCGGAGTGCCACGGCTAGCTAGATGCCGAACAAGCTGCACCTACATCTCGATTGGTGCATCAGTCTTGGCGATGAAGAAGAGCGTCTCCAAGAGAGCCTGCACTTGCTCGTGCTCTAGATCCCGTGCTTGAGGGAGATCCTCGATTTGCAGTTGGCTCTTGACCTTCGCCAGAGCTAACTCCTGATTGTGAAGCGCATCCTTGTGCTTCCCGGACCGCTGGTGAAGCCGCATGGCTTGTGTCTGCACGTCTGTAGCCCCTTCACCCCTCGCGAAAGTCGTCCCTGCGCCACCATACTCCATACAGATGGTACACTTCATAGAAGGAAACCCGTAAGACGTCTGGCAAATTACAAGCCGAGGAAAATCAGTAGTCCAGGACTTCTTAAAATTGGAAAGCGCTTCCTGGTAAAGATTCTCAGCGATGTCGGGCAACACTGTGTCGGCTGAAGCAGAGGGGCTGGTTGATAAGAGAACGGTCCGTGTAGCCTCGGTGGGTTGGGTTTGATCTTGCCTGGGTGGTGCCACAGATGTGCGCTCGAAGGAGATCTTGGTCTGGTGGTAGCGTGGATTTGCAAGCTTCTTGGAAGGGGGTCCCACACGGACAGACCCTTGCACGGCTGCACGCGAGCATTCGCCCCGTGTTCGAATCGGCGGTGGGAGGTCCGAGTTGTCGACGACAACCTCAGTGACTGGACCTGACGGAACTGCAGGCGAAGGGTCTGCTGGCGACGGAGCCGATGGCGGAGGTATTGGTGGCGAAGGAGTCGCTGGCGGAGGTTCTGCTGGCGATGGTACTGACGGCGACGGTTCCGCTGGCGTTGGAAGGGCTGTCGAGGGTACTATTGGCGAGGGAACGACTGGCGCAAAACGAAGGAAATCGAGGCCCGTTAAGGGCTGAATAATTACGGTTTCGTCACGCATGGCGGGGGCTTCATCGACGCCCTGTGGCGACAGTGAAGCCATAGGCGATTTCTTCTTAGGAAACAACGTGTGAGATACGCTGTCGAGGAGGTAGCAAAATGCGGGCGGAAAAACACTAACAAGAATGAGTGTACATCAGCTTTCGCCCTGCATCAACAAAGGGATGAAGCAGGAGGTGGAGGAACTGCTGGCGAGAAGAGGAGGAGATGGAATGGAAACCCTCATTCTGGAGAGTTCCACGGTCATGCGCCATGGTGCCCCGTCGTGACCTGAGGTGTGGACGAGGTTGGCCGAGAGCATGTACCCGCCTTTGATGGCCAGGGAGGTAGCGCATGCCAAGGTTTCAGGCAAGCGTGGCAAAGTTGCCGCGTGCCGCGTGGGTTCCTTGCTGCGGCGGGTCCTGATTGGTCGGGATGGCAACTTTGATGTGTCACTGTACAGCCACGCGCGAAAAAAATCTGTACAGCGGTGCAGATTTCATCATTTCCCACCGCACATCTCGCATGTTGCGCTGTACCCCTGTCGGTGGTTTTGTATCTAGTCAGCTAAAAAAATTTCACGGTACAGGCTGATTCAGGGTACTTTCCAATAGGATCCTGATGGATCAGGGCTCGGGGTACTTTTAAATCCTGAGATCATAGGATGCAAAATCCTATAAATACTGATTTGTCAGGCCGGTTTTATACAAATACTGTTACTTCAGTCCTGGGGCACCATGCAGATACTGAAATCAGGGCATTCAGGATCTTTTATCCTGATATCTGAGGCCCTGGTACCAATTCTCTTGATAGTCAACTTCATTGATGCCTAGATTCTAAGATTGTCGACGATCTATGTCGTCTAAATCCGAGAGCCAATTCGACGACCACTTCGTAGAATTCTCCATGTAGCCGCAGAGAACCCCTGCGCTCAAGCGAGGGTGGGGCCTCTCACTTCGACAGACGCGCCAATGGGCAGACTGGCTAGCCCTTCAAGAGAGGGAAATAAAGCACGTTCCATCGAAAGAGAGGGACCCAGATGACGACGATCAACGAACGTAGGGCCTGGAACGCGACCCTTGCAGCCATACAAGAAAAATATATGTGAAATCGTCGCTAAAGGGAGATATTACTGGAGGCCACGATTGGCTAAAAGATACCGTAAGGGAGATTACGAGTGTAGAAGCGGAAGAAGAGGTCTTGTTAAAGACTTCGTGGATCACGGAAAAAGTTTATGTTAGAGAGAACAGTTTATGTTACAGAACCTGTAATGGAGCAATTGTTAGAGATAACTCTCCTCATCCAGTTATCGGAGGACTGACCCACCACGACAGAAATTTTCCAATGCAGCAAGGTGTGACTTTCAGCGTCCACGTCAGGCCGGTGACTTGAGGGAGGAGCAAATATCCTTGCTGAGCTGTTCCCTCACGAGATGCTTCATCCCGAATTTCCGATGCCGCGTCAGCAGCAACAGCATTTGTAGGGACGTGTTTGTGACCGTTTGAAATGTGTGTGTGTTTTGTTTTTTGGGTGAGAAAGTGTACTTTTGTTTTGGAATTTCTCGGCTTTGAAAGTGTGTGTCAGAAGTGTCTTTTCACTTGTTTCCAGTTGGCAAAACAGCTCACTCCAATCCACATCACTCCCTTCCAGGTGTATGGTGTAAGCCGTTCATTCAATTTCACCCTTGCCCCAGTGACTAGTCTGCAAAAATGAGTTCCTCCTTCTCACTACTGTACCATGGTTGCCTGACTTTATTTGTCTGACTCTCCGCCTCGTCAGCAGAGCAGCAAGCAGAATGCGGCGGTGCATTGCCAAGTCACTCGCAGGAAAAGACAGGAGAGCCATCTGAGACCTGAGTTCTCTCCTGAATGGACGCCAGTCCAGGGCTCTTCTTCCCATCCCAGCCCAGCACGCAAACTCTTCCCTGCACGTTTCCCCGCCTGGCGCACGTATCGCAACAGAGAGTGAACTGGACACACCTCCCTTCCTCCCAGCAGTGTGACACAGAATTTGCCAATACCCACGACCCTGCATTCCACGCCGCACGTCTATCAGAGACATTTTCACACAAAATGCTTCCCAAGAAGACTCTGCTCCGCACGACGGAGTCCGCGCCTCGCGGGGGAAAGTGCATTTGTCACTATCGCTGCCAATTTCCGCCTTTTTGTCTCTCTCCATCTAGACAGAACCATACCTCGCAAGTGGCTCTTTCAGCCAGGTATTTTGCCGAATTAGATCCCGCGGCGGCACGTGAAAAGCGAAAGACTTGCATTGACCCATTATCCTACTCCGGATAAACCCGCATCGCTGTCAAGCTACCAACAAGGCGAGAGAGTGTGGGGATGTGTCGCTAGCGGATCCACCCTGCCTTGCCGTGTATCGCTGGCAAACAGGCTCTCTATTTCGGAAGCAAATTATGCCTCGTTGGCTCACCCGCGTCGCCGTGTCATCCAAATTCACACAGTTGCCAGAAAGTTATGCCGCGCTGGCTTACACGCGTCGCAAGCCCTTCTCGATTTCACACAGAATCAGATTAATGCCTCGCTGGACGCCGTCTCCGCGGAGAGGTACTTTTCCGCGCGGCGCATAGAGGCTCACGTTCATTCCCGCGCATGACATATAGCGCTCGCTGTCGACCCCAGGAACCGATGCGCGGTCAAAGGTCAATTTCCCTCTTCCCCCCCTCCCGCTCCACGCTTCCCCCCCCCTGGCAAACGGGTCGATGCGCGACTCCCCCCGGAAGGTATAGGCTCTCCCCGCCGAGGATAAGGATAACCTCTCCCCCGGGATGATAAGGATAAGCTCTCCCCGCTACGCTGGACACCAAATAGTGCAGTCGCTAAGTTAAGGGCTTGACTTTCCCCGGCGATGGTCCTGGCGCTGCTTGGGCGAGGGGGGGAGATCTCTCGGGGGAAAAGGTCCCCATGAGAGCGGGAAGGGGAAGGGGAGGGGGAGAGGGGGGGGAAGAAGGGGGAGGGAGGCGAGAGTTCTCATAGTATATAAGCCCGCGCTTGGGGCTCAATGCACATATCTCGCCTTCGCTGCTCGCGATTCACCCCTTGCTAATTCCTGCTTAGCTATCTATCACTGAACATCAGGCTCGTGCTCCCCAACCAATCATCAGTCTCCACCGCCGAGAAACTGTCGCCTGCTCGTCACCAGTTTCGCCAGCGACAATTGCGCCACCAGCATCGCCACCAGACTCACCAGACTGGTCATCAGCAGCATCAGCATCATGGGCTCCCGTGGACTCGTGCTCGCTGCACTGGTTGCTCTCCTGCTCTCAGGTATGCATCATGGGATCTCGTAGGCACGGGTGCTTCGCTGCGCTCGTGGCTCGCATCCTCAGTATGCTCTCGTGCACTCCCACCTTCCTAGACTCCAAACCTCGAAACTGCTGCCATCCTGCTCCCTCTCTCCTTATTTCCTCTCCTCCCCCTCTCCCCCTCCCCCTCTCCCCCCACTCCCCCTGCGCGCCAGCGTGTGCGCCCATGGCGGAGGCTATCCGCGACGTGACCCCGGACTGCCCGTGGGGGCACGAAAGGATAAATGGCAACTGCGCTGGTGTGTGCTCCACCCCTCTCCCTCTTGCGTGCTACGCATGGCTGCATCCTGAATTCTTGCACGCCTGTATCGCCTACCTTCTGAAATCTCCCAGCCTGATCTGTGATTTCCTGCATGCCTGCTGCCACACCTTCTACCTGCCGTACATGTCGCCAGCATCCCTTGAAGCCTAACTATCGCTCCTCGTTTCCTGCTTGAGCATCTTCTTACATGCCTGCTCATGCCTTCCATGTATGTGCCTGCTTGCGTGTGCTCCTCACGTGGCCACGTGCGTTCTCCTTGTGTCTGCGTGTGTCCTCCACTCCACGTGTTGCCTGCCTGCCTGCAGACAAGTGCAAGTCGCTTAATTGCAACGTCGACACCGCGATGTGCAAGAAGAACGCGACGGGCGATGCAGTCTGCGTGTGCATCGATCCCAATTACGTGCTCGTGACCGACACCTCATGCGCACGTACGACACATCATCACCCCTTTGCTTCCACTTTAAGATATGACCCCCCCCCCCCCCCCCCCCCCCCCCCCCCTTTTTTTTTCAAGACTTTGAGCATTCTGGAAGCGTGCCCCTTCCCTGGAGCGTTGTGCAGATTCCTTTGAATCTCATTGTTTCCTTTCCTCCCCTTCCTTTCCCCCCCTCCCCACCCCCCTGCCCCTTGCCCCCACTGCGCCACCATGGAGTGTGTGAGACCTTCACCTCAGCCTGATCGTTCTCTTGCCTGCATGCTCCTGCCCCATGCCCTTGCAGACCCGTGTGCCGGCACGTGGTGTGCCATGGACGACCCCAACTCCTCGTGCGTGAAGCAGGACGGCCTGGCTACGTGCGTCTGCAAATGGGGCTTCGCCATGACGCCCGACCGCGGCTGCGTCGGTCAGTGCTGCTGCTTCGCTTCGCATCTGCCTGCTAATCTGCCTGCTTCAAATCTGCCTGCTTCAAGCTTCTTAACTCTCACCCGCTTCATTCTGCTGCCTGCTCCTTCTGTACCTCTCTTCCCTTTCTGCCCGCTCTCGTCTCACCCACCTCCCTCCCCTCCCTCCTTCTCCATCTGTGCCCTCCCTTGGCAGACACATGCACGCTTAAGGCCTGTGTGGACGGCACGTGCAGCAAGGACGGAGACGGGTTGGCCGTCTGTTCCTGTGACGCCGCGGCTGGCTTCAAGCTGCAGCTTGACGGCAGGACGTGCAAGGGTATGTGCTCAATATGCTGCGCGCTGCTGTGCTAGGTGCTGCCGTTCGCTTAAACTCTTGTGTTTTGTGCTATTGCAACTTCAGTACATGCTGCTGAGCTGCTAGGTAGTTTCTAACTTGGTGTCTCGTCTCTTCACCACTTCTCTCCCGCCCGCCTTTCAGACGTGTGCGTCATCGAGGGCTGTGAGGCCAAAGACGCCAATTCCAAGTGTGTGAGGAATCTGGACGTGGCCCACTGTGAATGCAAGACCAAGTTCGAGCTGTTCCAGGGCGTGTGCACTGGTATGCTTCCTCGACTCACTCCGTCTGTGCCTCGCTCTGTCTCTCTGCGTGCATCTGCGTGTCTCCTTTTCGTTTTGTCCACGTTTCTCTGCTCTCTCAAACTGCATTTTGCTGACTCCGCTCCAACCCTCCTTCCACATCCCCTCCGCCCCTCCGCCCCTGCCCTCCCAGACACGTGTGTGGTGAAGGACTGTGAGAGTGGTGGTGGCACGTGCACCCAGGACGCCGACGGAGTGGCGACCTGCCATTGTGACGCCGAAGCTGGCTTCGTGCTGCTGGCTGATGGGAGGACGTGCAAAGGTGAGGGCCGGCGTTTGTTGTCAATGCTGGCAAGATGGTAGGTGCCACTGTGTTCTACTTTCCCAACTGTCTCATCTTTCCGTTCGTTTCTGTTGCACCCTCCGTGCAGATGTGTGCGTCATCAAGGACTGTGGAGGCACTGATGCCAATTCCACGTGTGTCAAGAAAGGCATCGACGCAACCTGTATCTGCAAGACTGGATTCGAGCTGTTTGAGGGCAAATGCACTGGTGCGCTCCCTGCTCTCACTTTCTGTGTGCCTGGGTCTGCCTCTGTGCGTGCGTCTGTGTCTCTGCTTTTTGTTGCTTCTATCCACTCTCTTAATCGGCCTTTTGCAAAATCCCTCCCACCCCTCCTTCCACATCCCCTCCGCATCTGCCCTCACAGACACGTGCGAGGTGAAGGCGTGTGTGGATGGCACGTGCAGCCAGGACGCCGACGGAACGGCATCCTGCCATTGTGATGCCGACGCTGGCTTGGTTCTCCTGGAGGACGGCAGGACGTGCAAAGGTAAGGGCCGGCGTTTGTCCATGCTCACAATGGTAGGTGCCACTGTGTTTCCAACTCTGTCATGTGCTGTTGGGGTGCAGTCATCTCCTACTTTCCAATCTTTTTCGTCTTTCCATTTCTGTTTCACCCCGCTTGCAGATGTGTGCATCATCAAGGACTGTGAAGGCAGTGACGCCAATTCCACGTGTGTCAAGAAAGGCATCGTTGCGACCTGTGTCTGCAAGACTGGATTCGAGCTGTTTGAGGGCAAATGCACTGGTATGCAGCACGCTTCCTGCTCTCACTTTCTGTGTGCCTGGGTGACTGGTTCTGTCTCTCTATGCATGGATATGTTGGTTCTTATCAATTTCTCTTTTTTCTCAATCAATTTTTTGCTGAATCACCCCTCTTTCCACTTCTCCCTCGCGCCTGCCCTCACAGACACGTGCGAGGTGAAGGCGTGTGTGGATGGCACGTGCAGCCAGGACGTCGACGGAGTGGCATTCTGCCATTGTGATGCTGACGCTGGCCTTGTTCTGCTGGATGACACGCGCACGTGCAAAGGTATGGGCCGGCATTTGTTGCTGCTCAGTAGGCCGGCCCCTCTGTGTTTAAAACACTGTGATGTGCTGCTGTGGGCTCAATCTCATGTGTGTTGTGCCGATTGCAACTGCTGTACCACTGTGTGGTTGGTTCCTAACATTGCCGTATTGTCTCTCTCCCTCTTCTCTCCCGCCCGCCTTTCAGACGTGTGCCTCGTCGCGGACTGTGAGGGCAAGGACGTCAAGTCCAAGTGTGTGAGGAATCGGGACGTGGCCCACTGTGAATGCGTGATCAACTACGAGCTGTTCAAGGGCGTATGCACTGGTACGCTTCTCAACCTCTCTTTCTGTGTGCCTGGCTGTGTGTCTCTCTGTGGGTGCGTATGTGTGTCTGCTTTTCATTTAGTCGTCCACTTTCATCTCCTCTCTCAAACTACCTTTCGCTTACTCCTCTCTCTCACCGCTCCTTCCACATCCCCTCCGCCCCTGCCCTCCCAGACACGTGCGAGGTGAAGGCGTGTGTGAATGGCTTGTGCCGCCAGAACAGCATCACTGGAGCGGCATCCTGCCATTGCGATGCCGAGGCTGGCTTCGTACTGCTGGATGACGACAGGACGTGCAAAGGTAAGGGCCGGCGTTTGTCCATGCTGACAATGGTCGGTGCCACTGTGTTTCCAATGCTGTTATGTGCTGTTGTCCTGCACTGCAGTCATCTCCTATTTCCCAACCCGAACTTTGTCGTCTTTCTTGCTCATCTCTGTTTCACCCCGCTTGCAGATGTGTGCATCATCAAGGACTGTGAAGGCACTGATGCCAATTCCACGTGTGTCAAGAATGGCATCGATGCAACCTGTGTCTGCAAGACTGGGTTCAAGCTGTTTGAGGGCAAATGCATTGGTATGCTTGCCCTTTCTGCCACCACCCCTCCCCTTGCCCCTTTCCCTGCCAGCTCAGGGGCTGGTAGTACATAATAGGCCCTCCCTGTGCTTCTTTTGCTCTCGCTCCCTCGGCGTATGTGTGTGTCTCTGCGCATTTGTGCTTTCGCTTTTCTTGTGTGTTTGTGTGTGTTTGTTGCCCACGCCATTTCCCCGTTATCTGAAGCCACCTTTGCTCTTTCCACTTCGCTTTCACCCGTGCCTTCCAGACACATGCGAGCTGAAGGGGTGTGGCGAAAACGGCAAGTGCCGCAAGGACAGCACCACTGGAGAGGCATCCTGTGTTTGCGATCTGGGCTTCACGCTGCAGGCTGATGGCACCACGTGCAAAGGTCGGTGCTCAGCATGGTGTTTCCTACTGGCCTATTCCTTAGGGCATCTTGCTTTATATTAAAAATACGTCCTCTGTGAAACCTTAACCCTCAATCCTTTCCTCCAAACCCCTACCCTCAGATAACTGCGAGATCCTGAGCTGCACTGGTCCCAAGGAGCACTGCGCCAAAAACGTCACCACCGGCGTGGCATACTGCAAGTGCGATGATTACTTCCACAGGGCAGTTGGCGGCTTTTGCCAGGGTACGTGTCCTGTAGCAACTGCTTCACTCGTTTGCCTATCTTCTCTCCTTCTCTTAGCTGGCGCTTTCTATTTCCCTTACACCTCTTCGCACCTCCCAGTCCTTCTGTTGACATGTGACAGCCTGCTGTTCTTGTGGGGGAGGACAGGGAGGAGGGGTTTGCATTTACCTCCAGATCATGCATCAGCCTAAACTGCTTTTTCCCAATACTCGCCCTCCAGATTGGTGCCCCTTCAAGAACTGTGACACCAGCCTCTCCACGTGCGTGAGGAGGCTGGACGGGATTCCCTTCTGCATTTGCAACAAGGGGGTCCCGCTCACCACCAAGAGCTGCGTTGGTAAGAACCTACTTATTCCTCCTGTGTGTCTCTTACAATATCCTCTCTCTCCCTTCCATCCAACACCCCCCCCCCCTTCCTCTCCCCTCCCTCTCTTCCCCACCCCCTCACCCCCCTCTCCACATCTCTCTCCCCACTTCACCCCCGTCCCCCTTCGCTTATCCAATACTTCCGTCATCCTCTTTCCCTCTTCCTCTTCTTTCCAGGAGCTTCTTCCCCAGTTGTTTTCCACAACCTTCAGCTTGTCCCTTGCATGTTCATCCCCTTGTTCGTCTCCCCCTTCATCAAGCAAGGTGCCCTCAGCATAGCCGTGAGGAACGTCTACTATACTGATGGAACACCCTCATCGCTCTCGTGACGGCACACCTGCATCATTCCTGTGAAGCCACACCCTCATCAGCCAGTCTCGTCGTCCCATCAGCTAGTTTTCAAGATGATTTTCTTGCAAAGTATCGCACAGTGGCCAAAGAGAATGAAGGCATGATTTGCGTGCATCAGGACAATCCCTGCTTGAGTGCCTCTAGAAGGGAGGATAGATAGAAGAGGTTTGACCCTTGTGTGTTCTTACAAGGGGGAAAGATCTCCATGCACCAGGGCACAAGGTGTCAGCCACGGGCTTCTTTTGTTGTTTTTCTGGGTGTTTTGGCTGGTCATTTTGTGTGTCATGTCGTTTTCGTGGCTAGCTAGAAATGTCTTGCACTAGAATCATTAGTACCATAACTGTTTGCTTTCCAATTGCAATGAAGATTGGAGTTTTCAATTCAAGGCCTAGAATGACTAGCAGTAAATTATGTTACTGAATGATGGCATGGCACACTAAATGCAGAATGAAGAAGGTGCTGCGATTTTTTTTCACATTGAGGGTACATTGCTGCAAAGACATGTCCAGAATTTTGGTGTCACAATCCCCTGTTTCTTGAGTCGCGCCCCAATGTGTGCATTTCCGCGCGTCACAAAGAGTGAGTGTATCGCGACGCTTTGCGACCTGGCGACCAGGGCAAGTGTCACGATCAGGGCCCTCGTTATCAGACTATTTTAGACTGTTGGTCTAGGTTTCAGGCATGAATTGTATAGTTCATATGCTGCGGCAGACTTTAGCTTATGGACCGTATGAGAGCCCAGACAAAGGCTATATCGTCATATGTTTTTTCAGGAAACTTATAGCAATTCGTCTGATCAAGCAAAAACCGCGTATTGTTTCGTCTGATAGAGACAAAATGGCCCAGTTGGCCATTGGAGCAGCGATGTGTTGCATGTGTGATCACACGTAATGATTTTTGCGCGAGGGCATGGGGGTCAATTTCGGATTCTTCCTGCCAGCACATTCTGCATCTGACTCAGTTGCTGCCACGCATCTGTCAGGTAGTTGTTGTCGGCGCCGCTGCCAGGCTGTTGCCCCCCCCCTCGCTGGCAGAGTGCAAGGACAGTCGGTGCACAACCAACAAAGCATGCACCCGCCATTGCACTTTCGTGAAACCCTCGTCAGAGAGGCGCGGTTCGTGACAAGATGGTCCCTTCCCCTCCTTTCTTTTCCAAGCATTTCTTTGACAACCGTCCTCTCTGCCTTTCAATCCGTGACATGACGCCTAGCCCGTGGCTTAGTTCTCTCCCCTTAGCTTGTTCTCGTCCCATCTAGAGTAGCTTTGTTGTTACTGCCTCATGTGACTCACCACACCACACCATGCTATCCGAACCTGGCGCCCTCGAGTCATCCGACAGCGCTAGGCGTGATTCACCTGCGGTACCTGAGGAGCATCGGGTATCTGCGTTAGATTTCTTAACGTGTAAAGTTCCGGCCGCGATTCCTGTGACCACAACTGCTGCGGTAGAGATGCCTCCGCCTGTAATTCCTCCCCCCCAATGTTATTACATCCTGCAACGACGAGCCTATTATCCCCTCGCGATCCACGTCAGATGCGGCAGAGACCTTGACCCAACCTAGCACGGCTGAAGCTGAGTCCTCACCGCCGCCTGTTTCGGCATCTGTGGCTACCACTCTACCTGCGATCTCTGTTTCGTGCATTAGAGCAAAGAACGGCAAATACAAACAGCGATTTCTCAGTTTTGCCCGTCCCACTCCCGGTGTCACCCCAGCTACCGTCCCCCGCTTTAGCATACCTCGTCCAGGCCCATCAAAACCTGTCGCCGCCGATGAGGACGACAAGTATCCCTGCGCCTTGACCGTCGAGAAGTGGCAGGAGAAGGCAAAGGAGAAATGGCTCAAGCACTTCCCGTGGCTCATCATCTTGCAGGCCTCATGGGGTCAACCCTGTATGAGGTGCTCAATCTGCATGGTGCACAGAGACCCTAGCTACCAGTACGGCCGCGACGGCGAGGGTGGGCTCGACGTTCAACGACGGACGATGAGGAAACATCAGCATTCAATCAAGCTTGAAGCGTCAGTGGACCGCCAACAGCTACGAGACGACAAGAATGCTGCTCAGAAGTCGATCGTCGACTTCGAAAACGGTGACGCGGAAGCCAACCGTTTGGCTAAACTCATGGCAACAGTTATTTTTATTTGCAGAAGCGACTCACCCATGTGCTGTTTGTGACCCTAGTACAGTTCATGGCAGAGATGGGCACGCCCGACATGCCTCTGAAGGATTCCGGCACGTACTACAGCGAGTAAGTGCTATATTTTTGCAGACCGTCAGTTCAAAACTACGATACTAAATACCTTCTCTCTGGTTGTTGCAGGTACGGGTTCGCGCAGTTGGTTAGCGCTCGTCATCTACCTCCGTGCTCAACAGATGAAGCACATCCGGGAGAGTCCTTACCTGGGCATTCAATTGGACGAGAGCACGGACCGTCGGCGCGGGAAGCACCTTATCGTCTACCTGTCGTTCCTCCGCAGCAACACGCCCGTCACTGATTTTTTCGCGCACCTATTAGTTGAGCAGTGTGATGCTGGTTCCCTGCACGCAGTCCTTCTAACCCACCTAGAGTCCACGGGGATCAACCTTGAGCTCATCAGTGGCATCAGCACCGACGGTGCAAGCGTCATGGTCGGTTCTCAAACGGGCCTGGTGGCACGCCTTCGTACACGGATCCCACACCTCGTCGGGTTCCACTGCATCGCGCACATGTTTGTTACCCTGTGATTTTGTGCTTACCATTTATTTGTTGCCTGTTTATCTAACTAGTTGCCTCTTTTGTTTTATGTCAGGGAAGCTTTGGCGGCAAAGGATGCAGCTGAGGCCTACCCCGACCTTGATATCGTCGACCAGGTGGCTTTCACGTGGGCTAGCGGTTCAACGTCTGGCTGACAACCTTCCAGCTGCTATCATTCTGTTGTACGAGAACGACCAGAAGGCGTACAGCCTTTTAACTAGTTTGAAGTTCCATTTCCTACTCTTTTTCTTGGCTAATGTGTTGAAGGAGCTCAACACACTCAACCTCAAGTTCCAGCGACGGCATGTACATCGTTATGCCTCTTGCTGTTCAGTGGTTTCTAGTATGTAGATGAACTGTGTTATTATAAATATTGACCCGTGCATGCCTTTCCACTGCCTCTCATGTGTGTGTGGTAGGTCGACGTGACACACGTGCTGCAGATGGTGGACAACACTAGGCTCGCCCTCCGAAACCGTTACCTGAGTGGACGACTTCGGAGATGGGAGCAACGAGCTTAGCGCCTTCTTGGCGAAGCATGCCTCGTCGGAAAAGAGGGAAGTGAAGGTGACGGGCACCGATTTGACTGAGACGCCGAATTCTCATGAGTACACCCTCCATGAACAAAAGATTGCGGTTCAGAAATCTGCCCCGGGCCTGGAGGACTGCATCGCACTGGCGAAGGGGTACGGGAAGGAGCTGCTGAAGCGACTGGAGAGCCGGATGAAGGATCTGGGCTCTCTCGACGGCGCCAAGCTGTTCACGCAGGGGGCGTACCCGAAATCTCATTTGAAGCGGCAACGCCAGTTTTTGCAGTGGCTGGAGGCTCTCCGTAACCTGTTTAAGCGCAAACCGTCCGACCCTGACACCATGCCTGGTACGTCTTCGATTATGTTTGTGCTTGATTGAGTTGTCGATGTTGTTTGTGTCACCAT